GGTCTATCACTCACTTGGCATTTATGTTTCTCAGGCACGGTACCGAGCACTCGATAAGAGATGCAATCCGAGGCGTGTTCTTATCAAAGATATTTTCATATCAAAGACATTGGAACACTTGCCCTTTTGCACGCTTTTATTATTATTTGCTTATTTTTGCTATTTTAATCTTTTGAATCACTCAAGCTTTTGTTCTTTGACAAATGCATAAGTTACACACCATCCCATCCCGAGGTTAGGTAGATGTGGGTTGAAAAAATGAAAGGTCTATCGTTAGACGAGGCTCAAAGTGATTTATCAAAAGAGTGATTGTATTTTTGAAGGTGAAGATGATATGATAGGCTACAAGGGCTGCCTCTAATCATGGGTATACCTTGTGCTTAGTTCGACATGGAATATTTTTTTTATGCAATGCAATGATCATATGCAAGGAAAGAAATGCTCTTTTTATTAAAAGGAAAAAAAAAAGAAAAGTTCTACAAAATAAAATCTAAGGAAAAATGAAAGGTGCCTATGCTAGACTTATTAGGGAAAGGATAAATAAAAGAAATCGAAAAAGAGGTCACGAAATCTTGTCATTGAAGCTCGCCTTGTGTCATTTGCTTTATCATCACCCAGTCTTCTTGCTAGCTAAAGGTAACGGGATCTTGTTTGCTTCTATGAGATCTTGAATGAGATTTTGAAATCTGTAACATTCATCCGTGGTATGACCATTTCCTTGATGGTACTTGCAGTAAGAGTCGGGATTCCATCTTGAAGATCACTTTTCTGGCGTTAGATCTTCAGTAGGGCTAATAGGTTTGATTAATCCTCGACCATAGAGATGATCGAAAGCAACATCATAGATCATTCCAATGGGTGTGAGCTCTCTTTTGGGTTTCTTCTTAGATCCTTGATTATCCATGGCTAAGACATCGTTATGGTCAAAGGTACTAACATTGTTACTAGAGTAGGTGTTTTCACAAGAAGAAGGATTATTGTTCTTCTTTCCTTTCCAACCACTGTTGTTACTATTGTTAGCAGCTTTTTACTTCGCAAGGTCATCTTCGATTTCAATACCTATGTCATAGACGGCTTTGAAAGTATTCATGTTGTGTTGATATTTCAAGTGCTTTGAATACTTTTCTTGTAGGTTCTTGATGAAAAACCTTACAGACTTCTTTTCAGTAGGGGCTTCGATCATATTAGCGGAAGTTTCCTTCCACTTGTTAAAGAAAGAAGTGAATCCTTCGTTTTCTTTTTGCCTTAGTATCTCAAGTTGTCTATAGTCTGTTCCAACTTGAATGTTGCACTTATATCTATCAATGAAAGCGTATACTATTCCGTCCCAAGTAGAGGTCTTCTTTTTATCAAGAGAAAAGAACCAATGTTGACAAACAGTTTCAAGATGTAGTGAGAACAAAGTGTGAAAAATATTCTTATCAATTCCTTTAATGTTCATTATAGTTTCAAAAGCTCTTAAGTGGAAATAAGGATTTTCAGTTGGCTTAAACTTAGGGATGTCATTGGCATTAAAATTCTGCGGAAGAAGCTCCTTGTCCACTGAGACCCCTTGTGAGCTAATGCCCTGGAATCTATAGTCATTAGAGAGTTTGCTCAAGCTTTCTTGCATGAGCTCGATTTGTTGTTGCCTCGCAGGGTCATTAATTTGAAGGGTCAAAGCCTTCATCACCTCACTCATGTTAGCCACGTCCTTCCTAAGTTCATTGACTTCTACTTGACTTGCCATTATCTTCTTAGCTTTTCTTTTCCGACTGACTGGTTTATCAAAAGGTTGAACTTGAACGAAGGTGTTGTTCTTGATTAATCGCTCTTCTCTCCTTGACCAAGTGCTGTGGAAAGGGAATTTAGGGGTGATTTTTTTATTATTTTGACTCAAGCTCTATTCAACATGCAATAGATGGGAAGAGAATAGAAATGGAATGGACCCTCAACTCATATGACGGAAAAACGACATATGCATGAACCTAAGACATGCATGGTCATGGTGACATATTCACAAAGTGTGTGCTAAGACTAGTGAGTGTAGGTGACATGATATGACTTGTATCATGACCGTGTGGCTAGACTATGTGACTAGACTCAAGCAAAGACTAAGTTAAGACCTCACGTATGTGCACTAAACTGGACAGACTGTAGTATTTTAATTCTAACTTTTGATCTGTGACTCTGATTAAGACGAAACCAACGCCAAATTAAAGATAAAACTTGGGGCTACAGATTCATGGGTTGTACAACTCGTAGTTCTTCCTAGAACTCCGGCTATGACCAAAACAAATTGACGCTTGTGCAGTGTACGGGAATAAAATTTCGGGTTGACTTAAAGCAACTATGACTCGATTCTAGACATATTCATTAGCTCGAATTAATTAATTAATTAAGCAAAGTCCTTTAGTCATTGGTTAGTTTATTGGAAAAAATTTTAATTACTACCTCAAAAAAAGGGTCTTTGTGAATTACTACCCCTAAAAAAAATGTTATTAATTACTACCCTAAAATTGATTTATTAGAGCAACTACTAACTTTTTTACTAATCCGCTTACTTAACCTCTTAATGATATCATTATTCATCTAAATTCTAATTAGTAGCTCTAAAACCTTAATTAATTAGATAAACCCTAGCACCACCTTCCCCTCACCGTTGCACCACCTCCGGCGGCCCCTCTTTGGCCCCTTACCACCTCCGACAGCTCCTCCACCATGAAACTCACTCCCTGCGCTCAATCCCCCACCACAAAACCCACCCTCACGTTCCACCACCACAAAATTCACCCTCTTCTTGTTCCCCCATCACGATTTCCACCTCTATTTCGCTTCCCCGACACACAATACCCACCCCCTCACTTTCCATCACCACAAAACCCATCATCCCTCCCATTTCCCACAACAAAACAAATCCCTATCCCATGAATGGGTTATTTTCGGGGGCTAGAAGAAGGGAAGAGTCGGTAATCAGGGTTGAGGAAAGGGGAGGGGTGGGTTTTAAGGTTTGGGGCAAAGGAAGGGGCGTTAATTGCAGTGGGTTTCGCGGTGGAAGTGAGTTTTTTGATGGATGGCAAAGAGAGAGTGGATTTCGTATTGGGGGAGCCGCCAGAGGTGGTAAAGGAGGGTTGACGGAGGTGGTGGGTAGGTGGTGTAAGGGTTTATCTGATTAATTAAGGTTAAAAAGCTATTAATTAAAATTTAGACAAATAATGATGTCATTAAGAGTTTAAGTAGGTTGATTAAGAAAACATGTAGTAGTTACTAGAATTAATCTGTTTTAAGGGTAGTAATTAACAACTTTATTTTTTAGGGGTAGTAATTCACAAAGGACCCCTTTTTGAGGTAGTAATTAACAAATTTTCCTAGTTTATTTAAGCATATTTATGATCACAAGTCAAACCAAACGGTTAGTTTAATCACATAAGAAGTATGCACAAGTAAAAGATGCACAAGTAGTCAAGTAGTCACAATATGATGCAATGAGTTTGCAACCTAACCATGGCTCTAGTTCTCTAAAGTTCAAGGATAAGGGTTAGTCAAAGAGGGTCCATGGTTATGAGTCCGGATGCATCGCGCGGAAGCCTTACCTTTGGAAGGGTTGGCGCATATGGATGGGACCCCGCAAGTTAAACTTGCTTCCACGGTTTGGTGGATTCACAAACTCGGATGTACCCGTCGTTGCCCAATCAATTGGGTAGATGGAGCGTGAAACCCCAGAGGGTTATAGCCATATGTAGAACACATATGGGTTAAGAAAAGAGAGAAAAAATCTATCAGGAAGTAGAATCAAGCAAACAGTGCTAGAACTAGTAAAAATAAGAAGGCAGAGTTCTGGCTCGGTATTGGAAGAACTTGGCGCCATACAACAGAGATTGGCGCCAGGGCGCCAGGAGATGACCCTGTCGCAAGACGACAAGCTTGTCGCCAGGCGACAGAGCCATCTCACAGGCGCTGGCTCTGTTTGCTAAATGCTAGTTTGTTTTCGCAGTATAATTTCAATTCTAGTTGTGAAAGATATTTCTCAAATTTCCTAAGTGTAACAAATCTTATGTTTTTGACTCATTTCGGATGGTCTTTCCAATGAGGACCTTTTGTTGTGCATATGTGACAGGGTAAAGTCGTATCCCCTAATCAAAAGTAAATACCTAAATCCTCTAACTAAAGTAGATAGGGAAGTAGGGTCGATCTTCACAGGGAAACAAGTCTTTTTACTCCTAATTAATTATTATAATCTAAATTATCTAAGTAACCAATATTTATATTTGAGTATGAAACTAAACTACAAGGAAAAGGAATAGGGGAAAAAACAATATATAAAAGGATCTAGGGCATAGGTTCACCAATAAATAATACTCCAGGGTAAAACATAGTAATCAATCATTGATATTGCATAAATAACATGATTAACAGGCTCTCGCAATTTATTAATCAACATAGATCTAACAGGCTCTCGCAATTTACTAGATCTAAGTTCTTATTGAAAATAGCCTTTAATATCAAATTAACATCTGCTCGATTCATCAATTTAATATTGCTATACTTTTACAAGCCGCAATTGTAAAACATTAAAACAATTCAATAGGAAATTATCATGCAATATCAATAATCAATAATAGTCAATCATCAATGCATCAATTAACCAGATTGTAAAGGGCTTTCGCTACGTATTACAATCACAGAATTAATCTACCGGTATTAAATCTCATCTCTCGAATCTCGACTTAACCATTTATAAATTAATCTTCCTATTGAAACTAGACCTAAACATTAATTCTCATCTCTCGAATCTTGAATCAATATTATTTATTAGATCCCCATAAGCCCTAGAAATAGAACTACTCACACATAATTAAAACTAAACTAATCAAAGTAATAAAACAAGACATGATCAAGGGAAGAGATTAAATAAAGGGTGGAATTAAACCAAGAATTGTAGAGAGAGAAATAAGAGAGAAAGTAATACTAAGAATTTAATTAAGAGGAGAGACAAAGAAAAGTTAGAGGGAGAAAGAGAAAAAGAAAACTAAACTAAAACTAATACTAATAAAAGAATTAAAACTAAGCTAATAACACCTAAGAAATTTGCCTCCCCTAAAAAGCTACGTACTCCACCTTTTATAAGGATTTAAGAATCTTATCTTAATTATAAGCTTAGGAAAAACTAATCCTAACCAAAATAAAACTCTTAACAAAACCCAAAGGAGCTAAATAAAAAGCTGCGGAAAATTTAATTGGTATACACTAGACCCTAGTGTAGGTAGGGATACCTACACCCCCCTCTAAATGATGCGTTTATCATGTTACCCACATCCCATAACCCACTAACCTACTGTAACTACCCACCATTCTCTCTAAAACCTTCTTCTTCATTTCTCTAGACTTTCTCTCTCATCAAAACCAGAAAATATGAACCAAAATTGCTTCAAAATACTACGAAATTGCTTCAAAATACTACGAAATTGCTTCAAAATATTGCTAAATTCCTTCAAATGTCTACATTTGCGAAGAAATTCAACAATCGCAACAACATTCACAGAAAGAGTAAGTAATTTTACTAAAAAATTTTGTATGAACCTATTTTTTCTACTACGTATTTCATTTTGAAATTACATGTTCAGAAACATAATCTAACTTGATTAGAACTATTTTATGCAAAAATCATTAAAATCTACTATGTTTTGTGTTTTTTTTTTACAGAACCGAAAAATATATTTCGAATTAGAGAGATAAAGAGAATGAGGATTCAGAGAAGAATCCTGTTCGTTGAACATAACAAGGCATAGTCTGAAGAAACGTAAGTATTATTTCAAAAACCTATTTAAACAAGAGTAGAAAAATTTTAAAAAAAAAACAACGAACAAAAGTCTCAAGTTGTAGATCTAGAACTTTTAAAAGATATTAAAAAGTCTTATGGTATAGATGTTAACATTTCTACGATTCCGAGTTAATATACGAACATATATAGAATTATAAATGTTCATTTGTATATTTGAATTTATTTGAGTTTATATTTGACTTTATATGCCTAAATAAATTATGTTCATTTTTATGATATGTTATGCACATTTATGAAATGCATAAATAATCATTCATTTGAGTTGAGAAACTGACTTATTTATTCTATCAAATCTTTTGATCATTTATGAAATTCATAATGTTCATTTACATATAAAGTAATGTTCATTTTAAAATATATGTTAATATTGGTTCATTTCAGTTTACATATATATTTATATGCCTAAATAACGAATGTTCATTTCTTTTATACATTATCCTCATGTATACTATTGATAATGTTCATTTGTATGCATTAAAACTAATATCTTACAACTAATCTAGCTATATTGTAGTGATGTCCAAAGTTACATATTTGATATAAATTTGCACATGGAATTGAAGAATACGTAGTTGTTTTGGAGAAGATAAAATGGCTTAACAACGCTGATTATACAAACTGCGGAGTATACATTATGAAGCATATAGAAACATTCACTACTAAACTTAATGAGAGTTAGATTTGTGATTTGAAACCAAATAGTGTAAAAGTGATAAATGTACAATAATGTAAGATATATTGTTCATTTATAAAGTAGTGTATATAATAATTAACATTTGTTAATTCATTTTGTTCAACAGGTGAACCAAATTAGGAAGCAAGGATGCGGAACTGATGTTATTTGAAGAAAAACACTAAATATAGGTTAAATAGAAGATAAGCAAGGAAGTTTGCAAATGAATAGTACATGTTATATGTTCATTTATGAAAGTGTATATGTTCATTAATGAATGTGTATATGATCATATCTTATACTTCCTCCGTTTCTTTTTACTTGCAACACAGCCTTGTGGCACGTGTTTTGAGGTCGGGTTTATGTAATGTAAACGGATAAATTATTCATTATAATTTTTACAAATGATACTTAACCCTATTCTAATCTTCGTGTAAAAATTATATTGATAAAATAGCTCGTTTACCCTCACTAATCATCTCCTAAAATTGCGTGCCTAAAAGGTGTGTTGCAAGTAAAAGAAAACGAAGGAAGTATATAGTTTTATAGATGATTTTTTTTGGAGGAAAATAGACTTATAGATTTTATTTGTTAAAAAAATTATTGGAATTGATATTTCATTTTAATCTTTATTTGTATGAAAAAAAATATATAATTTTTAGGTTTTATGAATTGGTTGTTGGTTCTTTACTTTTGTTCATTTTCAAATTGATAAATAATCATTTACATATGTTGAATTTTAAAAAAAAACAATATACTAAAAAAGGTATTATATAGAAACAAATTCTTATGTCTTTAACACTTGACGAACTTTGAACAAGAGCACCTTGATCATTTATTGGAACCGTGGGAGGAATAACTTAAACATTTGTCGATTGAACATTTCTGGAATGGGGTTTAAACATTTCTGGATTGAAGTTTGAACAATCCTGAGTTGAAGTTGGAACAATGCCAAGAACTACGGGTGGAACAAAATATCTAGTTTGAGATTTTGTAGACGCATTAGTACTCTTGGATTAACTTGAGCATCATTTTTAACACCAGCACCACCTTTATTTATAGGAACATTACATTGAGCTTGAGCAGCAGAAACACCAGCAACACTTTTATTTATAGGAATATTTAAATCCTTCGACTGCAAAACAAATTAAATGATCATATTAAAATATATAAATGTTCAATTACAAACACTTAAATAAACAGATAAGAAAAACAAAACTTTAGCAAGATATGAAATATCAGCTTTTTTCCCACTACACAAAGTTTTAATATACAATTATAAATGAACATAACAAGTTTCAAAAAATGATCATATTAAATCCTTTAAACACTAAATCCTTCGCCTTCAAATAAAAGTTAAATGATCATATTAAAATATATAAATGTTCAATTTCAAACACTTAAATAAACAGATAAGATCAAAACCTTAGCAAGATATGAAATATCAGTTTTTTTTCTCATTGCACAAAGTTTTAATATACAATTATAAATGAACATAACATGTTTCAAAAATGAACAATAATTAACAAATACAATGTTCAATAGCAAAATTGCACATGATCAATGTGGAAAATTTTGACACATAATATTATCAAGAAAAAATGGTAAAAACAAATAATCATATATGACATAAAAAAATTAAGAAGTACAAATGATAACACATAATTGATTAATTTTAAATATAAAAATGATCCAAAAAATAAATAAATAAATAAAAGCATACAAACAAAATCACGCAATTTTCAAACATAGAGCAATGAAATAAATTGAAGCAGCGAAATATTCATAACAAAGTATGAACAATCCAAAAACGTTCATCATAATCATAATCAAATTTTGAAAATTGAAGCAACGAAAAGAATAATAATACATAAATTAAGTTGAAATAAACAGAGCATTATAACACAACAATGTATTGATGATAAAAATTACAAAATTATGATTGTAATTACTCACATTGTTGATGAACAAACGAATCAATCAATCGAACTCTAGAAGACGGAAACCCACTTTCGTAATCACGATCGAAATTAGCAGATGAAGAATCAGCCATTGATGATCAACAACAATTATCAAAATCGTAGGAAAAATAAACGGCAAAATTAGTATAAAATCAAATGAAGAAGATGAATTAACTAGAGAGAATGTAGGTAGAAAAATGGAAATTGATCAATTGAGGAGAGAGAAAATATTGGATTTAAAATCATTTATATACATAGCTTGAATAATAAGAAACAAGGAATTAAAAAAATAAATAAAAAAAGGAAAGAATTGAAGCATGAATTAGCTTGTGAGTACTCCCCGCAAGCTACAAAACGGCGTAGCATCAGGGGGTGTAGGTAGACCATCCTACACTAGGATGTAGGGTATAATTTTCAAATATTGAGGAAGTTATGGCCAATTTACTAAACTGGGCCCGGTTTGAGCTTTATGTACGGACCAATGATCTAGGGGAGGGCCTAATATGATTTATCATTCCTAATGCAATTAGGAATGGTTTTGGTCTTCTAGAATCTTCTAGAAGGTTCTTTTCATTCCTAATTCAATTAGCATTGATAAGTTGACTTTGTTGACTTTTCAGAGTTTTAATCAAGATCAAATAGCATTTTCGAAGGAATTATATTATTTTATCTTCCAGTACGGGAAATTTATCAGATTTTCAAAAACGCGTTGAAATCCAGTTTGGCGTCCAACCCCAGGCCTTGGCGCTAGGCGCTAGCCATTGGCGCCAGCTAGCCAGGGTTGGCGCCAATCCTGTTTAGCGATCTTCAGACTCTGTTTTGTTAAATTATCTTTTTTGGCTTATTTTCTCTATAAATATCGTATCAAAACTCCGTTTTCATTGACGAATTCATCATCTACATCTATCAATTCACCAATTCTCTCATTCTCAAGTATTCTTTAGCATTCAATTCTTTCTTGCTTTTTCATACAAAATTCCGCATTCGCAAGATCTAGATACACCTAGCCATATTCGAAGTTGCCTTCGCCCTAGACGTGAAAGGTTTTAATTTCTGAGGGTTTGGTCCCAAATCTCTCTTTCAATTATTTAATTTAATTGTTTTGTTTATTATTTTCCTTGAAGTTACTAATGTTATTATGATATTCCTAGTATCATGTCTAGGGTATTTTTAATATTAAATATGATTGATATGATGCCTTTTATTTTCTTCCTAATATTTACTCGTGTTAGTATCATGTTAGGGCTAAAGATTTGATTTTTAATGCTTAGTGACATGTTAGGGTTTGTTATTAATCTTGTTAGTATCATGCCTAGGATCTTGCTATTTTTATTATGCTTTAATATTAACATGAACATGATTGTGATTATAATTGTTATAATTTTATGATGATTATTATTATCATGATTATTATTTATTATGTTGCTTGATACATTATTTATTCTTTATTGCTTGATCACACCTTTTATTGCATGTTTAAAGGGAATTGGTACTTGTAATCATGCTTAATAAGATAATTAATAATCTTGTTTAGAGTTAATATGATTATAATTCAAGTGATCGCCAATAATAGTTTATTTGTGCATTATATTCAACCAACATAGATAAACAGGTTTAGGGTTAATCCTATTGATTGCATGTTGATTAAAAAGTGCACATGAATATGATCAGAATAAAGTAGAGGCCTATTATTAGGGCATGTTCAATCTCTTTTAGGTTGGATTTGTACCTTCATCCCCGGACCCTTATTTGGTTCATGACCTTATGGAGTTGACGATCTCTTGGATCGTTAAGGGGTGTAACCTTCATCCTATGAACGGTTTACAAGTTCCTTAAAAACTTGTTGGCGACTCTTTTGCTCTATCTTCTTCCCTTTTGGACGCCACCGTACTTTAGTGTATGATCACAGTGGGGTTCGAGCTAGTGGGATTTTAAAGGCTTGAAATTATTCCCTACAACTAGCTTGTTGAAGAAAGATTCAAAGTTTGAATGAAATTAAATGAAAAGTGTGAGGAATTGAAGTGTTTCAAGTCTTAGCTTGAAAACATGTTTAACATGTATGCAACGTTAACCTTGTCATGTAAGAATGATACCAATTAACACTCATGCATACAACAATAATACTTGTGGTGGTGGTTTGTGGGTTGGGTGTTCATGGGTGTTATGGGTGTTCGTGGGTGTTTGAGTGTTTGTGGGTGTATTGGGTTCATGGGTATTCGTGGTCGTGGTGGTTCGTGGGTTGTGGGTGTGGGTTTGTGGTAGGGGTTCGTGGGTTTGTAGGTGTGGGTTTGTGGAATAATAAATGTGGGTTCGTGGGTTTTTGGTGGTGGCGGTACATGTGTTTGTAGGATTGTGGGTTCCTGGATTTGTGGTGGCCTGGGAATGGGAAGAGGACAAGGATTTAGAGTTCATGGATGATGGTTGTTTCCGATATGACTTTCGTTTTGTTGGTTTCCAAGAAAATATACAATCCGTCTGTAACATTATACTGTTAATTTAAAATAATCAATGAACGAAATAACGATGGCCAATTTCAAACAGCTAGTTTTCGGCAACGAGATTTGTTCTTCAAAAATTTAATGGTAAATTAAAGATGCGTTTTTTTTTGTAGTGGTTGATCGAATTGCGTTATGATACAAAAAAAAAATTGATTTCTTGCATACTCTATCAATTAAAGTTGTTGATGAGCGTAATTATATCGCTTATAAGCTAGAAAATTAAGAATATTTAGCATTTTATAATATATTATTGCACCATTATCATTAGGACTTTCTCTAATTCTCTGAACGTCATTTATATTTATATAATCTTTTCCTGTTTTATGCACTCATTTATTCCAAATACCTTCGTATGGTGATGCATAGGGATTTTCAAGATTGAGATAGAATTAAGGCTTTGTGGTGGTTCACCCGACCTCTTCTTGGTTTGCGCGAACATAGCTCATAACTTAATTTCCATATAAAATACACCACTTTAGCGTTTTCCCAAACCTCTTAGTCTAATTCCTTGTAGTATTTTAGAGGAGGACAAGATCAAACCTTAGAAAAAGTTAAGTTTGCCTGGTCCAAACCTACACCCTAGGGATGGGAACACTTCTTCAACCATTGGACTTAGGCTTTTTATTACCAAACCTAGATTAGGTTAAAAAAACCTACTCGTGGTTTACTCAAATCTAAGTTGATGTTCAGTTGAACCTACCTCCAAGTTCACTCGAACCTTGCCTTTGTTCAGACAAAGATTACTTACTTTTTTAGGGTATTAATTAGTTAAGTTTTGAGCACCTATTTATTTTAGAAGATTTGCGATTAATGTTTTGAAGATTCAATAATATATTTAAGCAATTCTATTACTAACTTTCTTTAATCGCCCCATCTCTTTCTGTTCACTAATGATACTTGCTTTACTTTATCATTCTTATGCTTAATGCATATGGCATTCTATTATTGTAGTTTAATCCTATACTACTATCTTGCTTAAATTGATTGTGATTTAATGTCATTTTTTTTATTGAATCTCCATAAATTTAACTTGGATATTGTTAAGCTTAGTGACTTTATAACTATAAAAGTTTGTTTAAAAATGAACGACATAACTAAATAATTTCTTATAAGAGTTCATTATGGGTATGCATACTAAGTAGTTCCTCTTTTAGGGGTAGGATAATAAATAACTTGATGAATGTGGGGTTTAGAGTTGCTAAACTTGATTAAATTGTTGCTTTCTTTAAATTCTTATTGCAGTCAAATTAATCACTTGAGTGTAATTTGATACATTAGGGTTGGCCTAAGATTTTGGTTGAGTTATTAATTTGACTTGGACTTTAAATTATCCATAATATGGTGGAGCTGGGAGTAGGAGATAGCTCAGTAGGAGTTATCCTGTTCAACTAGCCCCCCAACAGGTGGTATGAGGTTAGTCATGCCAACTCTTTTGAGTGCCCGACCGTATTGACCTGATACTACTCAACAGGTCGTCCAGCTGAGATCCTCCACATAAAACTAGCCTCCCAAGGCTTAGGAGTGTGTTAGCGATTATGAGACTTAAGTAGACAATTGGGAAGCGTGACTACTCCCCTTTCAATCTAAGAAATAACGAATTGAACTAAGTAAGGAATTTTGATTTCTCCCGCTGAAGTTTAAGAAATGGCCAGCCGAATTGAGCGGGGAATTTCAATAACATTTGTTGAAGCGTAAGAAATGATGAGATGTGATTTCATAGAATTAGAATTCATATTTGGTGCTTGAAGAAATTACTTAGAAAAATTTTGGGCTATATTGAGATTCAATGGTTAGTTTAAGTAGTACTTGGATTTGGTTTAGCATCACTATAATGCCCATTAATTATTCCACTAGATTGACCTTAACCCCATTAATTATATGCCCTTAGTGTTTAGTCTAAATTTTATACATATATTTTTCTTTAGCATTTGTTTATTAATTAATCATAGTAGTCTTAGTCAAATCAAATCACATTGTCATAGACCTAACTTAAATTAACTCATGTTCACATTGGTTGTGTAATTCTTATATATAGTCTTTGTGGATCTTCACCCTAGCTTACTAATGTATTCATTATAGGAAGTGCTAGTTATTTTTAGTAATTTCAGTTATAAATCATATGAAGTGAAGTACTCTATCCATAAAATGAAGTTGGATGCAATTGTGTTTGCTTTGAAAACTTGGAGACTTTATGAAGTGTAAAATCTAAATAGATCACTAGAGTTTGAAGCAAATTTTCACATATAAAGACTTGAACATGCATCAAAGAAAATGGTTGGAGTTGATATGAATATCGACAATCTTGATATCTAATACCATGAAGGGAAAACAAACGTTGTAATTGAAACTTTGAGTCAAAAGTCAAGCCAACAAGAATGCAAATTGTTTTAAATGCATCTGGTGAACTGTACAAGAAGATCGATACAGATGTTAAGCCTTGAGATTGTTGAAGCAAGAGTGTTTATATTGTGTGCATCAACTATTTAACTAATAAAATTTGATGAAATCAAGAAAAATCAAGTGGAAGATGTGATGTTACATTGAATCAAGGAGTAAATTTCGTAATTAGGAAAGAATATTTTTCTTCAAATTTGGTATTATATAGTAACAAAAGTTCTTGAACAATAACAAATGCATAGAGACAAAGTTCTATTTTCAAATTTATCATAAGAATGCCATTCTCAATTTCAACAGTTTAAAACCGATAAATGAACATGTTGTAATTGCCTCTATAAACAATAATATTAACCTAAAATTATAAAATAATCCACTTTTTCATAAATAGTCCCTCAAAACATGGGGTAATTCCTAAATTATTCAAGGTAAGGATTAATGTAGGTGAAACTCAAACTCATGAATCCCACTTTTTTGTTAAAAAAACTTTCGAACCTAAAAAAATAATTGAAAAAAGAGACAAAAAAGCCAGCAGCTGTAAAATTCAGCTTTAAATATTCAAAAAAAGCCTGGAAATTTCTTTCTGTCTCTTCTGCCTCTTCCCTCCCAATTCCCAATGACTCATATTGTGGAGAATTTGTTTGGCTGACTCCACAAAAATCCCTTCCCTTCCCTACACTACACTCTTCTACTCATCACTAGATAAATCAAGAATTTTATTTTTATATTCTTGTAAAATTTAGCCAAACAAATTTAAGGACTAGTTTCTTTTTCATTTTTTTTTCTCTTTATTAATTAATTTTCTTGCATTTTCTTGTTAATAAGATTAAAGAAAAACAATGGTTTCATTGATAATTCCCAATGGATTGATTTCAAACCCAATACTAAACAAAAAATTCCCAAAATCATCTTCAATTTCCATGAAAAAACCCATCATTTGTTTTGAATCCCAAACCTCAAAATTCGTTGCCCCTTACAATTTCTTCAACAAATTATGGAAACCCAATTCTACAAACAAACATTATTCCATTATTGAACCCCCAAAGGCAGCCGCGCCGCCGCCTTTCGGGAAAAAATGCAAGGACAAGAGCCCCATGAGATGGAGAATTGGTGATGAGATAATTGTTGAAACAAAGATTGGTGTTAGCAAAAATGATTATACTATTAGTAGCAGTAGAAAACAAATGTTGGTTTTGTGTGGATTGGGTTATTGGGTACAAGGGTTTAGGTGTTTTCCATGGTTAGCTCTTAATTTTCACATGGCACAAAATCTGAATTATGACCCATCAACTTTACAATGGGTGCAATATTGTGGTATTCTTCCAATGGTGGCTAAACCCTTTTATGGGATTTTATCTGATGCTCTTTATATTGGTGCTGCTCATAGAATTCCTTATATTTGTATTGGAGGTTAGTTTCTGAATTCATTTTTTTTTTGGGTTTTTTTAGTTGTTTGTATTTGTAATTTTTTGGTTTATATTGTGTAATCCTTGCTAAAAATGACATTGGCATTTAATTTTCACTTGCTGACAATTATGAAATTGATGTAATACATAGTTTATTGTTTTTATTAATTGTTATTCAAGGATGTTCTGGAAAAATCATCTAAAATACAAAGTGGGTAGTGTTATTACAGCCGTACAAGCCGTTAGCGCTGCATATACGTGTGAAAAAGGTCTCTTAGAAAGTTAGAATGGTATAAGTTTGGAGATTTTTATGACAAAATTAAAACACGCGCATATTAGTGTAATGAATGCTTAGTTAGTACTCGTTATTTCATTTTTTAGCTTTGTATAGGTGGTCCTAATGACCGCAATTTTCCAACATGTAATAGTAATGATTTATGGTTGAATTTGCAATCTGCAAATTTGCCGGTAGTAAATTAACCATGCTTTTTTTTTTTATTTATTTATTTATTTTATTTTTTATTTTTTATTTTTATTTTTTTTTTGACAATCTAAATTAAAATATAGGTAGTTATGAAGGGGTTGGAACAATGTGACGAGTTGACCACTAATTTTGTATGGGGGATATACCTTGAAAATGACCTAGTATGATACTTGGACTTTGTGACTTACACCATTGTTGGTCATCTATGTCGAAATTCATGTAATGTAGTATGCAGCACTCTGTATCTTTTATGGTATTGATGGTACAGAATACTGTAATCTATTGAGACAAAGGTAACAATTGTCTTTTGATTGAAAGAGTTTGAATTTTTTGGTTAAACGAGACGTAATAGATGGAGACAAAGATAATACTGTCTTTTGATGGAAAGAGTTTGAATTTTTTGGTTCTAATACAAAATTTAAGAGCTAAAATTATGAAATATACTGTATATTGAATAATTTGGGCTAAATAAGTTTTAAAATGAAAATTTTGGTCACAAGGTTACTATGATCTAGATTTTTTGTTCTGGGAACTGCATAGAGGTTTCTAATCCAGCTTTTTTTCTCCTAACATTTCTTTTAACCTCAATATGATACTTTGTATAGAATGTTTGGCCAATCCTAGAATGGTGCTTGTCATGTCCTCTTCCATAACCCCTGCCCCCAAAACCCATATGAACTCGTAAAACCAGATGGCTTTATCTGGAGGTAGGAGTAGTATGCCTGAACCAACATCCCTCAGACCCTCATCTGCTTCTTCGGGTGCTATACTTTTCTTTGATCCATTTACTCTATCTCTTGGAGTCTTTGCATGATTAATAGGTTTTTTTTTTTTTTTTTTTGTGCTTATGCTCTATTATATTGGTTTCATTTTCATAGAAGTACATTATCTTCATTTGTCGGTTTTTCTAGCTGATTTCTCTAGCTTAGCATTTTGCAGTAATGTGGTGCATTTTGTCTGCGCCTTGAGGCTAAGCCAAATTGGTGATGCTCATAAATAAGTTCATACTTTGTAGTCATCTTGCAGGTCTTTTCATGGGGACCATTATCACTAATTCCATTTGTGGGTGAAGCCTTTCCTACCCTTATGGCATGCGTTCTTCTCAGTAATCTTGGGGCAGCTGTCACAGAGGTTTCACAAGATGCTCTTATTGCAGAATATGGACAAAAACATAAAATTGTTGGGCTACAGTCCTATACATTCATGGCAATAGCAGTTGCAGGAATTCTAGGCAACTCATTGGGTGGTATACTTCTATCGAAATCGCATCCAAGAACTCTATTGCTTATCTTTACACTCCTGCTGTCTGTTCAACTTCTAATTTCTATATCAACAAAGGAGGAGTCCCTTGGTTTATCGAAGCCTCTGAGTACTATTGTTGAACAAAGTTCAAGCTTGAGCAATATCAAGAGACAGTTTTCTGATCTTCTAGTTGCCTTGAGTGAGGATAAGATATCTCGTCCTCTACTTTGGGTTGTAGCTTCGATTGCAATGGTGCCAATGCTCACAGGATCTATCTTTTGCTATCAAACACAATCCCTTAATCTTGACCCTTCAATTATCGGTGTTTCCAAGGTAATTGGGCAGATGCTGCTCTTATCATTAACTGTGCTCTATGACCGGTTTTGGAAAAACATTCCCATAAGGAAGTTGATTGGCATAGTGCAATTCTTATATGCCTTTTCTCTCCTCCTTGACCTCGTTCTAGTCACACAAATAAACCTGAAGTTCGGAATACCAAACAATGTTTTCGCTTTGTGCTTTTCAGGGTTGGCTGAGACCATTGCTACCTTTAAAACAGTACCCTTTTTTGTGCTTATTGGGAGCTTATGCCCTTCAGGATGTGAGGCTTCAGTCACTGCGTTCTTGGCCTCAGCTTTAACTTTGTCAACAATTGTTAGTGGGTTTTTAGGCATTGGATTGGCTTCTGTACTTGGTATAACTTCTGACAATTACACTAGCCTCTCTGTAGGGATCATGCTGCAGAGTTTGGCTGCTTTAGTGCCTTTAGCTTGGATCAACAACCTACCAATTTCACAACTTTCCGTTGAAAAGGAAAAGAAGAAAGGCAGGAGTAAAAGGAGTCGGAAAAACAGGAGAGTTGGAAGAGTAACGCTCAACTCAATCTTTTCTTACCGTCGAAAAAGAGAATCTGAGACACAAAGATGACAACATTCCTAATTTCCTATTATGTTACTTAGGAATAACACAGTAATAGCCACGCAAGTCCGGATGACTTGTGTCTCATGCCTTCCAAAGAGGATACAATACATATATGGCTTAAATGCCCAGAATAGTTCAAATAGCCCTCCAACTACGCTGGTGCTGATTTTTGTTTGGGCAACAAGGAGCGGTATGATTATTCTGGTTCAGTTGCTTTCTGCTGAATTTACAGAGTCAGTAGATGCCAGTTTATCTATCTTTGTTCAGTGGTGAAGTTCAATATGGATAGGATGTGGTTCATCCAAATGAGAAACACACAGTTGATACAGAAGATTCAAACATATTGCTCGAATGTATCACTCCAGGGCAATGAATCAGATGCACAATTGGTGTAGAAGGTACAGACAAATTGCTTGAAGATCAGTTAGGGGTTGGTCAGATGCTCATACGGTCATACCGGAGCTGCTCAGTTTTGTTTCAATTGTGTATCTGCACTTCCATTGATGATCTGTTGCATTAATTTGAGCAAATGCCATATGCATCTTGAGGAAATCAGTCCTCTACTCGGTTTCATTTCTTTGCATTAAAAATTGTAATTGATGTGGGATTCGTTTCCAATATCTGATTGATTCACTTGAGTCCTGAGTTCTGTACAGCACAAAGTTTTGTATAATAATAAGGTTCTTGGTAGTGTGATTTCTCTGTTAGAGTTTCTGACCCCCCCCCCTTTTTTTTTTTTGGCATCAAACTTTGATTATTGTTTTGTAAAAAGTTTATTATTTTTTATGCCTTGGCAAGATAAGTCGTAAATCACCGCATGCTTTCGTTCTCCATAAGACTCAGCTATTCATTAGGTACATCCATGTAAATGTAACTCTACACATCAACCTCATATATTGGCACAAATTCTGCAGTGATTGCTGTTTAGGAACATATGTTTGAAACAGTTGTATGGCTAAACCAAACGTAGATGAACTAATTTTGAACCTTTATTGTATATGTATTGTCCTTTAACTCATTACGAGGAAGCACTCTAGTATATACTCTCTCTAATCTAATTTTAGCATCAAGGACTCACAATGGCACGAGAGACGCCCACAGTACAGACAGGCGTTACTTTCATATCAGATTATGTTTTGTGAGTTTTATCTAACATATATTAGCAGAATTCTTAGTTAATTTTGCCTTGTAAGGTGCTCCATTAACCATAATAAGTTTTGTTGTCAATTGTGTGGTGGGTTAACCTTGTTCATTCGCTAGTTTATATTCCGAGCAATACCTTTTAAGCTTGTGTGATCTTTGGTTTATTGTGCAATTTGGAGCCTTTGTGGCTATTAATAGTAGTAGTAGAGCTATAATCAAAGTGTGTTTGTTAATTGTTATAGTGTTTTCTTGGTCAGAAGGGTATTGGGGAATTTATTAGTGTCAAATCTGTCAATCCCTTAGGTGGTCATTTCAGAGATGGACAACATCATGATTTGGGCTATGCACAATATAAGGGTGTTGGGAGTTTAAAACTTTAAACTAGTTTTTTGGGCCCTTACTGACCTTAGGATTAACCTAATGTAAGGAAAAGCTTTATAAGTTTGGGTTTGACTGTTTGATAAAAGTTGTTCATCATAGAGATGTCATTGAGGCCAGTCATGTAGGTGACTGGGGCGAGAATGCCAATTTGGCGGGTGGTGAGGTGGTGACGGAGATAAAAAGTCATACATGCCATGGGTGATAGGGTAAGGGACAAAGGTGGATTTAAGGTTGTACCCGCCCCCACCATTCGTCTCGTTTCGTACTCGCCTCATAAAGTTGGCCATCATGCAAGCTAGGTGTGTTGGGGTCAAGGTTAGGTGTGTTGTGGGTTGGGGTAGGGTGACACATATGACCGACCTAGTTGGGGTAGGGTGGGCTGGGTTGAAGAAGTTAAACACCTAGGGGTTTGTGGATTAGGAAGGTCGCAAGTGGGTCGAGCTGGTTCACGGGTTAAGTGGGTTAGTGGGCTTGGTTAGAGTGTAGTGGGTCATGTGGGTTAATTAACTAGGTGAGTGTGCCGGGTGGGTTAAAATTATAATATTAGTAGTTTGTATCACAAAATAGTTTTTAACTTTTATTTGTTTATTTAAGTTCAAATTTTTAATAAAAAAGTAATTCGGTAAGTTTAAACAATATTATGTACATATTTTTTTTTAAAGAATATTCTTAAGTTTTACAATATTTATGTTATGACTAGTTCCTAATTATTAGGGAAATTCTATATGGTGATCTTCAAGAGTTGAAAATTCTATATGGAAGACTAACTTCTTCTTTTTTTTTTAAAATAAAAAAGTTCTATCAAGTGGCACTATAGTGTTGAAAAATTAAGCATATTGCTCCTTTTTTTTTTGTTTATGGCTAACCGTTATAATTAAAATGGTTAACCTTAGTTTTTGTTTTTTTAGTAAATTTACTAAATTAACCCTCCTCTTCAACTAAACCACAACCTCCATCACCTTTATCGCCTTCCCAGCCACCAGAACCACCACCCTTTCCATCCACTACCGACCCCTCGCTCCCAGTTGTCCACCCACACACCGATCCCAAACTCCACCGGCAATCAGCTCCCCTAGACAACCCACCCCCACCTGGCCCTCACCCCCACTCTTTTCCTCTTAACCCATCCCAACTCTCGCTCCGCCGGTGACCCTAGGAGGGCTAGGGTGCCGATGACGTCGTCGGTGGAAAAGTGGAGGGGGTGCATGTGAATATAAGTTTTCGTGTATGTTTAATCTACTTTGAGTATAAATCGCCATACCCGAAATATAGTTTGTAAACAATAAAAAGATTGAATGTTGCATGTATTGAAAAACAGATAAAATGTTTAGTTTTATCGTAACTCTTTTCACATAAGATTCTAAAGCAAATCAGCGACAATCACTTTACTATATATGTACTTGTGATTTGCGAAAGTATCAAAATCTTGAATGAAATGGTCAAGAATAAAAGCTCCTTGAAACGGACTTATAATATACTTAATGTAACAAAATGATTCCAAGGGGTATTTACACTCCCAAACTCACAGCATCTAAATGATGTGTTATATTCTTGCAAAAGACATCTATCTTGTAAACTTGTTCATTCAATCTTCTTTGTGATGATGAAGCAAGATAGAGCTAAGGAAATTATTCTTTCAAACTTAGCTTGTCTTTGCTCCGCCAAGAATTCTCACTTGGCTAATGATTCAATGCACACGATGTACGCTTTTCAAAATAGTATTCCCGGCCCTTCAATTCACCCCATATTATTGTGTCTACATTTCTTATTATATTTGGCAAGATATTCTGGTTGCTTCTACTCCGTAATATTTTATTTTAAATTTTTTTTTTCATATGTGGCTAGCCACACCGTGTGATCGGAATTACTTATTTACAGATTGCATGGTTATTCAGGAATTACTTATTCATGGTTTACTCAGTCGGTCAGGAGTTACTTGATCAAGAGTTACTTGGTCGGTCAGGGGTTACTCGATTAAGGATTACTTGGTAAGGGCTTACTCGATTAAGGGTTATTGACAGGCTAAAGTCGTATCACCTAATCAAAAATAATTACCTAAGTCCTCTAGTTTATGCAGATAGGGAAGTAGGGTCGAATCCACAGGGAAACAAGTCTTTCTACTCCTAATTAATTATAATAATCTAAATTATCAATAGTAACCAATATTTTTTGTGATTAAAATCTATACTACGAAGAATATGAGTAAGAAGAATAAATCAGAAAGAAATCAATAATAATAAAGCCTAAGGCATAGGTTCACTAATAAACAATATTCCAGGGTAAAACATAATAATCAATCATCAATGCATTAATTAATCAGATCATAAAGGGCTTTCGCTACGTATTACAATCACAGAGTTAATTTACCGGTATTAAATCTCATCTCTCGAATCTCGACCTAATTATTTATAAATTAATCTGCCCATTGAAAGTAAGCCTAAACATTAATTCTCATCTCTCGAATCTCGAATCAATATTGCTAAACTCATACAATTAAACCTGACCAAATCTAATTGCATAGCATTTAAACAATCAATAGGAAATCAATTAAGCATTAACAATTAACAACCATAAATTACCCCTTAATATTATTTATTAGATCCCCCTAAACCCTAGAAAGAGAACTACTCAGATATGATTAAAGTTAAACAAAACAAAGTAATTAAACAAGGCATAAGGAATTGAAAGAATAAAAATACTGAGATTAATAAAAGAGAAATCGTACCGAATCGACGGAATTACAAACGAAGTTTAGGAACAAGAGAAAATAAAAGTCTAGAGAGATAAAGTCTAAGTGGAGAAAATAATAATCGAGTGTAAAGAAGTGTCTAATCTTGCCTAATAAAATTACATTAATACTAAGCAAGAGTTCTACGCTAAACATAATTAGTCGGAGCCTAATTACATCCTCTCAAACACACGCGCCCGGTCGGGCAAGAGGCCGCCCGACTGAGCCCGCCATTTTGCTGCTGAAGGCCTTCTCGCGCCCGGTCGGGCGCGTGCTCCGGGCGCGTCTGTTGCTGGGGTGTTGCTTCGCCCCGCCCGACCGGGCGCGCTTTCGGGCGGCCCTTGATGGTCCGGGCAAGGCTCTTGGGCTAAGCTTGGACGTCGATTGGGCCTCTATCCTCGGGCCCAATCGGATTTCCTCTTCGGGTCTTGAGTATACTCGGTCCAAAACGCCTCGGAGTCTCAAATATCGAGCCCTTAATCACCGATTTGCTTCTTCCAACCGGTCTTGGGCTATCATGAACGGCCGTGTTCCTCCAATGCTCGTAGTCGCTCCTCTAAAATCCGGGAAAATGATCCAAATGTGCAATTTCCTACAAAACTCAAACAAAACTACGAAAACACTAGAAAACACCAATTAGTAATAAAAGTGGCTCGAAAGAGCCAAAAACCCTACTAATTACGACCAAGGGACGGGGGTAAATCTCTATATAAAATGAACATATCAAACTCCCCCAAGCCAAACCTTTGCTTGTCCCTAAGCAAAGAGCTCATCAATGAACATATAAAACATGCCTCACCCCAATGTAAAATCAAGCACAAACGATTCAAGGCAAATCAAATGAACATGCTTCATCATCAATCAATCTTATTCATCTAATCACTCTTCCTCCCCAACAATTGTCAAATAGAGCAAACCATAAGAGCATATAGAATTCAAGACTAGTGCTCACACACAATACTCTCATTTATGTGGCGAGTAAAATATGTACTCGATCGCTCTCCATCCCAACCCCTTTATGTGAACAATGCCCTCCCAAACTCACAACACTCGTGTGTTTAAAAAGACATACACTCAACCTAATAGTCGACTCGGAATATGTCAAGTCATAACTTGCATTGATAAACAACACTTTCACATTTACACAACTCTATGCACAAGGTCGGAAGGTCTTTAAAGCTTGTAATGTAAGGTAGGGTAAAGGGTAGGAAATATTTGGGAAAATGTGAGAGAAAAGCCATGCTAAAAGGGAGCCAAATCCTAATAAAACCCGTGATCAAAATAGATAATGATCAACATCTCCAACATAACCAACTCCAACAAAAACCACCAAATACAACTCCAATCATAATAATCAATCCCAATACTTACAAAATTCACTCATAAAAATATGATAATAATGAACTAGAGTGAATAACAAACTTTGAACTCATAACTTGAAATTTCTCATTGAAA